AGAAGAGACCTTTCTTTGGTAATATCATTTTTCATAAAAGGGTTGTCCTTTAAATAGAAAATTAATAATTCAAAGCAATTTGGGGTGTAAAATTAAACCAAATTGATCTTCTGGGTGCTTGTCTGAAACCAAATATAAATACATACATAAATATTTATATAATGATTAAGAATTCAGTATGTGTAATTTTGCTTGCTAAAATAAATTAATGATCTATATTAAAATGCATTGCATACAATTGTAACATCATAGGATCATTACACACTAAACAAAGGGAGAAGTGGGAAACACACATGTAATACTCTTTTTTAGAAAGAAAAATGTTAGATATCAATGTCTTGAGGTAAAGAGCATTTAGTTAAAGGCAATGTTCAAAATATCGAGACACCCTGATACACCAGAATATGTATACTAAGCTGCATTTGGAAATAATGCAAATGGAGTGTAAATCCTGGTTCAGGGTAAATTTGCACTTTGGTTCATTATTGCTTGTGCTTGGCAACATTACATTTATGCATTGGCAAATGACAAACCAATGCATATTTACATTGATAATAAGATATAAAAGTGCATCAATAAAAAAGAAGTAAATTTGCGTTCAAGTGGGCTTTTGTTAAAAAAGAAAAGCATATGCTTTATTGAAGTTTGTGTGGTAAGAAGGTAAATTTGTCAGTGCAAAACTAACCCAAATTTACAATTTATATAAACCGTTTTACACTCTAAATATTTGCATTCACACTTATTTGCATTGTTTCTAAACGCAGCCTATGGGGTTTGAATAACATATTACCTTTTATTATTATTATTATTATTTTCAAATTTTTTTAAGGGCCAACCTTAGGAAGGCCTACCTTTGAAAAATTTTAAGGGGGTATTCGACAACATGGTTGGTTTAAATTAAAACAACCCCCTACAATTTTAAAAAACTTGATATTTCACATATTGAAGCGAGGCCAATATGCATTCGTCCCAATATGTGATGTTGAACCTTTGATTAAAGGTAATTTTAATTTTTGATTTAGATATATAAAGAAATATCAAATATCCATAACATGAAAATTATACTGCACAAATGAATCTTTCAACAAGAAAAGGCTAAATTATAATTGAAAATTCTGATATTGTATCTCTGCAAAAAAAAAAAAATTGTTCATACTCCTCTGATAACTCAAGAACACACACCAAACCTCTGCAATATTTCAAGGCACTTGAAAACCTTTCACCAATAGCATAAAAACATCAACCCAAAGTCTTCAAAATTGATGAACTACTGGTAGTCCTAATGAATTCCCCAATTGCAATCAAACCTTAGCATTAGCATGTCAGCCCACGAAAATTTCACATGGTCAAGGATCAATTTTTGAAGTGATTACGTTCGGGCCTACAGAAAACAAAACAACAAAGGAAGGAGTCTTTTTGGTAGCTCATCAGGGGATTAAAAGCTGTTCAATAACACAAGAACATTCGTCATTTTGTTGTTTTATGTCTTGTACTGCAGGTTCCGAGTACCAGGTTATCATCAAACTTGGACCCTACAAGACTTGTCTTGGTCCGATGAGTGCTGTATCTAGACCCATCTTGTGCCTTTGGTTCCACAACTCAAATTCAAATAAAATGCTTGGTTGCCTCAAGTTGTCAAATAGGCCTGGTCCAATGCCGCTCTCTCCTGAACCTGCCAAATTTAGTGGCCATGGCCCATTGGACCAGATCATGCTTATCTAGGGATTATATGAATACTTCCATTAATGCGGCACTGGCATAATGGAGGCGCTAACTTATCTTGTTGGTCCTTTATTTATCCTTTTTGTTTTGTTCGTTTATTTATTTGTTTGGGGGTGAGAGGACCTATTATGCTCGGCTCTTGATCTTTACATCTAAATCCTTAAATCTTAAATCTTAAACCCTATATCTCAAACCTTATACCCTAAATTCTAAACTCTATACCCTTAAATTCTAACATTTAAGTGAAAAATGCTAGGAAATAATATTTTTAGCGATTTGGGTACTTTTCTGTTATTGGTAGACAGAAATTAGGGTTTGGGTTCCCATAACTTGCCACTTGTAAAAGGGATCAAGACCCAGACCCACTATTCAGTAATCGCATAGTGGAAGTTAGGTGGGCCAAGAATGAGCTTGGACATAGAAAGGTTTACAACAACACACAGAAATCTGGCCCTTGCTTGTGTTCATAAAACACATCCTAATTATGATTAATAGAGAATATTGTTTCCAGCACCCTCAATCCTTATACAAGTCTCTATGTTAAGATCCATTTGCCCCACATTGGTAGTATAGGATGTTAATTAATGTGAGATATCACATTGGTAGAATGAGATATTGTTATAGGGTATATATTCGCTTGGGTTCCCTCCCTCTAACAGTAGGCTTTTAGGGGCGAATTCTCCTATGGCATGTAATAAAACTTTTTCTTCTACAAGATAACAGTTTGTAATCAGTTTTACAAACCCTAGATCCACAAGGAGAACGACAAGAAAGTCAGAGAAAATTGTGCTGTGCTCAATTCATTGAATTCGGGCTTATACAATTAATGGTCTATTTATAGGCAATGCCTAGCTTTAAATATGCCACAGAGACAAAGATATAAAACTTACCATAAAAGGGAAGTTTTAATAAATAAAAAACCCATTTTTGAATGTTAAAATGATGGAAATTGGGTCCGAAAACCACAAAAAAAAATGAATCCCTTCAATCAATTTCTAACATGTAATGCTTATGCAATGATCATTTTGACATATGATATGTCAACAATGGACACCCATAAAAAAAGTTATGGCTCTTTGAAATTTAGTATCACTTTTGACATCTTTTCTTTTTATTGGGCTTCTAAAAACCTGTTCTACGTCACATAACATCATTAGATCAAAATTTGGTTTAATAATTTGTGTTTTGGACTTGGGTTCACAGGCTTGTTTGTGCATCCTTTTCAATTCATACACCACTACCCAAATCAATATTGTCATTTACACAGTATTGCTCTGTCAAGAATCTCCTTCTGCAAATAATGGCCACCTACTTAATCAGTCTCCATCTGGGGAAGTGCAATATATGGTAGCCTAGTGCGTACTGCTACTCTGCAAGTAAAAAAGGGAAAACGCCATAATCAATGGAACTTCTAAAGATTTCCCCCTTTGTAGACCTTTTCACATCCCATCGAACTAGAAATTCTACCTTGTGTAGTCTCCATTTTCAAGTAATGAAGCTGGCCTAGTGGTAAAAGATATCACCTCTACCAGTTCCTTCTTTGGTGCCAAATTCATCTCAAAATTCTCTTCATTATTTCCTTACCCAAATCCCAACAAACCTTCTTCAATTGGCATTTAGCTAGGAGTTAAACTTGTTTCTTAAATTAATCCTTCAGTTTCAGCCCAAGAGAGACCAAACTCTTACCGTGTTGCATGCTCCACAGTACAAGTACTGCACCCATTTGTACTACCAGTTGATTAGATGTAGAGTCAGTAAAATTAGATAAACCCCACCAGGCCACCACCCTATTAGAGTATTAGCTGCTTTTTTTCTTTTTTTAAGCTATAAGCTTGGACCCAGAGGTGTGAAAAAAGGGTGGCATTCTATAGGTTGACAAGTAGTTCTTATTTAATAGGTTTTCTCATGTCCTAAGCATAATTCAGTTGACAATTAAGTAATTTATTTAAATCGATTATTTAAAGAAAATACTGTTCAAGCAATTATAATTGATTCACATGACTGTGTAAGGATGTTTTGATAGTTAAAAAGGCCATAGAGTTGTTAAACTAATGCTGTAGATGAAGAAAAGCCAGGAGGGAAAGCTTGTATCAACTGTGAAAGACAAGGCCAAATTCACAGCTTTCCATCTTTCACTGTCTGGGCTGATTCAAGAGAAAGGGAGGGGGGGGGGGGGGTTCCTTCTCAGAACCTAAAGTAAATAGCTAGGTGAAATTGATTGTGGCAACATCGACAGCATTATAAAATATAAAATTTCAGCACTCCCCTTGTTTTGTTTGTGCCACTAGTTTTGGGATTGCTGGATTTGCTTTCTTTCTCTTTCATGCATTGGCTTTTAGTTTGCTTTCTATTCCAGAATAGGATATAGTGAGTAATTAAAATAATGTGAACAGTATCTATCTTTGTCCATAGGAGCTGTTGAGGCTCTAGCCACAGGGGTCCCTGCCACATAAAAGGGATGACGTGGCAAATGTAAACCACCTATTTGATAAGGGATCTTCCTGACCAGTCATTGAGCAATTGTTATTTTCCAGCTTAGTCCTCAGTCCCTTATCATGCTTTATCAGTCTGGTAAAAAAAATTGGGTATGGGCCCAGAGGGCCTAAAAATGGCCTAGGACCACATAGCTTTCCATGTATTTCATAGTCAAGTGATTGGCACCCCCATTGAATAATCCAGTCATAAAATGATTAATTAGGCTAAGTTCATTGTTGGAAGCTATATGATCCTGAATGTCTGTTGGGATGTTATAAGTCTTTATCCTATGAATAGATCACACTTGGCAAGAAGAAAGGACCAGAACACAACAAGGGACCCTCACTTGCAATGGAGCTTTTTTAAGTTTTAACCATTGGGTTAGGGTTACATGGAACTTATGCCGACATAGTCTTGACTTATCTAAAGTGTCAACTCATGGAAGAGGCTCATTACTGAATCAAAAAGTAACAGAAAATTTTGTAAATCTGTATGGATTGCAGAGTAGTGATCTGAGTTTTGTCAAATGGAAAGAGGAAAAGGAGCGGAACCCATTTAAAGAACGAACTCAGTTGCCTTTCCTCTTCCCAGTTTTCTATTCCTTGGATCTGGCAATGGGATCTACCTACAACTGCTGATCAACAATTGTACAAGGAATGATTTTTAATACCATTGATACCTTCAGTAATAGAAGGTTGGAATATCACATCAACGTAGATATACTACAAAACTAACGAATATAAAATAGTATTTGATTTAAATAACAAAATAACTAAAACTCCATTAAAGTATACAGATTTCACTTGGGTGGTTTGATCTTTTTTGATGTTTTCTTTTCCATCTGCATTAATTGCAAATTTAGCAAAGCTTTTAGGAGGAAGGACCATGTAGAAGAAAAAGCAATACATTCATTGCTGTAATCAATTCCTCAATACAAAAAAGTGAAGTCTCACAACTCAATAACAAAAAAGAAAGATCCTTCAATGACCAGAAAAATGAAACAAAACTGAGAACAATCTGTTCCTCTTCCTCAAGCTAGATTTAGCAGCAATCTATGCTCGTTTTGGAAAATTGGCTAGACAAGCCAGACCTACTACCCAAATCTCTTCTCTTAGGCTTCACAGCCGGAGGTGCCCATTTGCTGGGTTTGGATGAATGACCACCATTTTTTGCGTCATTGTTAATCCTGCCAAAGTCTCTTTTGGAAGCCATGACGGGAGCAATTGGAATTCTCTGATGCTCTGAGAGCCACTTGGACTGCATGTAGCTGGCTGTCCTCCATGGAGGAATGTGGAGACCGCTCTCTTTTAGTGACTGTTTGGCAGCTGCACAGAGTAGAGAGATTATCTCGTTAAGCTTGCCTTCACTCCCAACAAAGATGGATGGAAGAGTGTCTGAGAGTTGTGCATAAGTTGATGTAGGCCTCGCCAGTTCGAATTGAGATTTGAAATCTATGTCTATTATCAATCTCAATGGGTCACTATTCTCATCCTCCATCATAATATCAATGTACTCGTAATCACCTGTAATTACAATAAAATGGGAAAAAAGATCAAATTTTGAACACAGACCATCCATTCTCAACCCAGAGAGAGAGGGAGAGAGAGAGAGAGAGAGAGAAAGGCACCTCCAGGACAATTGCAGGTGGTAACCCAGGAAGTTTTACAGACAGAAGCATCATAACCATCCATTCTCAACCTCATCACAAGCCACTTCTTCAGATTAGCAACCTTCCCAGCAGCCATATTTCTCATATACTTCAAGACCTTTTCTAGAATGACAATCTCTGAATCTTTGACAGTCCCAAGAATTTCCTAAACCCAAACGAAGTTAGGACGAATCAGACCCAAAAATTAGATCAAGTAAGATGCAGGGATTGAAACAGACAGACCAAGAAAAGAAGTGTCAAGCTATAAGAAGAAAACCTGTAACGTGAGGTATGCGGACTGATGATGAAGTTGCAGGACTTCTTGTCTAGTATAAGAAGTCGATGAAGATGATTCTTCTTCAATGAAATCATAGACCATCTGAACCAGCTGCTCCTCTTCCAAGCTACCCATTTTTCTTCTGTCTCTGTTTTCCTCTTACCCTCCGGAGCAAACTGAATTTTCTGAGGAGCTATTAAGATTCTAGTTCGAGCCTCTGGAGTAAAGGGTCCTTTATATATCTTGGTTTGGTGGTGAAATTACAGTTTCATGATGACAGATGAGATCATAATTGGAGACCTTTAAGAGAGAGAGAGAGATGATTTGTATTGTGAAGCAGTAAATAAAGATTGATGGATTTGTGTGCAGTGTGGAGAATATTTATGGGGATATCCTCATTTGTGCTAATCCCACTTGCAGAAACCAGTTTCAGAATTTTGTTTCCCCAGGGGTTTCGGGAATATCCACCGGTTCCCACGAGATTTACCAAAAATCTGCTTGATCTCATGGTCAGACAGACATATCTACTCATGGGACCCAGCTGCAATGGCACTTGGATTTGGATCTCTATATATAGGAAATTGATGGAACAAGTAGGTTCAATTTCCACCGTGATCAAGGATGTCAATCCGATGGTCTTTGAGAAAAGTATAAAACCCTGCTATTGTATTCTCTTTATTGCATCAAATATCAATTTACTTGACATAATAAAGATTCCAATTACATGGTCCACAGGGTATTACTGCCGTGGGCACAGCCGCATAGAACTCAGGTCTATCCCTTGGACACATCAAGCATTTATATAGATATTGAGCTGGGTCTAGTTGGCAAACCAATGAATGATGGATCAGATTAACACCTGCTTATGTCTCATATGAAACCTGGGCAGCAACAAGAGCAGAGTTGTTTTTAGCAAGCATTTGGGTGTATGGATAAGTGCAGGGTTTTAAAATTTAAAGAGTATCTTCCATCTTGAAATGTGAGCCAGGAAAAAGAAAAAAAAAAAAAACTCATCAAGGGATTGGATCTTTCTGGATAAAATGCAAAACTGTTTCCTGCTCCACTGTAAGCAACAGAATAGAAGTACTCAGTACTCTCTGCTCTGAGAGTGTGAAAAGTACCAATAACAACTAAATATTATCCAAATGAAAGTTTCTAATGTTTTTCCTACCATGAAATACACTAAATTCACTCCTGGGTGCCTTTAGCATTAACCAACAGTTGAAGGCTGTGTTTGAATGGCAGTTGAAATAGTAACGGGCCAATCTGCCCTTTGGGTCCAATTTTGTAGCAGAGAGGAATTCAGGAATCAGGATCAAGCAGATTTAAAGCTGTTCTTAGTTTAACCAGAGTCTGAAATTAAGGGGAGGGTAAATCATTTGAACTACATTCAATTGGGAGAGTGGAATTTAGCTCCCTTTCCGCCCTCTTCAGTATGGCAGCCTTAAGCTAAGCATGGCATGCATGTAGTTGTGGAAAAGTACAGCCCCTCCATGTGGTCTATCCTTCCAAATTATTGAGTTCAAATCAATAATTTCCCCCCACAGATGACTCAGTAGCTGAGATAATATGAATATAGAGGTTCAAACCCATATAACTGTAGGTTTTCCATGGTAAGGTCAGTGGTTCATGTGCACTATGAATCTGTCCCCACTCCTTTAATCCCCCTGTCGTCATCATCATCATCATCGTCATTGTCTAAGCCTTGTCCTAACTATTAACTATATGGGGATGGTTACATGAATCCTATTTTGCCATTTCGTTTTGCTCAGTGTCACCCAAATTGCACGTCTATACCGGAGACCTGACCTCGGCAGGTTCAAATTTTAATAAATTCTCAACCCAGTCTGGAAGACAAAGAACTATTAAGTAAGTGACTCTCCATTTCCTTGCAAACCAACCACAAACTCCCTAAAGTTAGTGCTTATTAGGACACCATAGCCAACCAACAGCCCTACTTGCCCTCGCCTGCTCCCTACCACACACACAAACAGGTATGTTTTGGCCTGATCCATATGGGTCAGCTGCATTCCAAACATGGTCCGGATGGCAGGTGAATACATGCTTCTATAACCACATTGAATTATTAATTAATACCAAACATCTCCTGCATTCCACCCATGCAATATGCAATGTGGACCCCATGGTGCTTGCTTCATTCATCTTGCAAGAAACCGAGGAGTCATGATCTTGACCTGACTGTGTGAATGGGGTGGGCCATTGCTTAAATGGGCCCTGGGCTGGGCCTGTAATTTTATAACCAAAGTTCCTCCAACAAAGGTAGGTAGATAGGTGCGACGATGGAAGGTGAAGAATTAAGAATGGGTCCATTCAAAAAAGGTCACTATACTGACTGATGGGTTTAGGAATGTTGACTGTGTAATCTTGTAATTGCATTAACATAGTTACGACATCCACTTGACTAATAAACATTTCCTCCGAACGTAAGGAGCAAGAAACCCACCAGATGGAATAGGGCAAATAAATGGGTTTTTTCTTTCTCCTTTTGATAGGTAAAGAAAAGGGCTTCTGCATGTGGGGGAGAGAGAGAGAGAGAGTCATTGAGCTTTGGAATTTGGATACTAAAGATAGTCAAGATTCAGAGTTGGATGGTTGATGGTTCCCATTTAGCAACGGTGCAAATGGCCGAAATGGCTCTTCCAAATAATTCATAGTTGGGACTTGGCATCTTCTTATACGTTAAAAATTGTCTCATTTAGAATCGTTTCATAATGGCCGAAATGGCTCAACTGAATGATTTATTGCTTTGTTTTCTAGTGAATAAGTTATCGAGGAGATTGTGAATGACCGATGCTAAAGTTTAGTTGATAACAACACCTTCGAAATACTATATTTGTTCAATTATTTTGTGATTTTGTCAGCCAAAATATAAAACTTACCATGACTATTTAAAAAGGATATTCCACTCTTACAACCCATATACGTTGCCTTTGTACAATTGCAGAGGGAGGGGGGGTGGGGGGTGGATTTTAGATCTTGGACTTCAAGAAAAAAGCAGAAAATGCTAATATGACATCGTTAAATTCAAAAACTAAAAAATTATAAATAAGTCCCACTGAATAAAATAAAATTATTTAATATATAATTAATAAATATTAAAAATAATATATAAATAGATCCCATTTGAAATTATAAGTGAATCACACTTGAATGCTGGCAACACGATGACGATCTCCATGAACTCCACGTCGACGCTTCTATCGCCATCAATGTCTGGGGCGAAAGGCGGCAGACTTCAACATCGACGCTCCCTTCACTCTTCCCTTGGTAAACTGTCATCTTCCCATCAAATTTGTTTCCACAACCACTGCGCACCGCCATAGGCTTTCCCCACCCAAGATCATTACCAAACTCCCTAAAGCATTATTAGTTACTAGCTATCCTATCCATGAACATAAACAGGTTCCTTCGTTTGAGATTCCACCAAACTCTTTTTTGTCATTGCATCATTGTGCAACGCGACGACTTGGTTAAACAGCCAGGCCGCTCACCCAAAACCCCGTTCCAGTAGCTCCCCTACCTTTGTCCTTGTCGTCCCTCCCTCCACAAAGCAACCAAAGTGTTCAACCGATAACAAGTCTCTTGGTCGAAGTCGAGTCCTTGGGCATGGACCACAGATCGCCATATATGAGTAGGGGCCGTCAGGGTCGGGTTTGAGCCAAGATTAGCTGGAACCGAAACCAACTCAACATGAAATGTTGAGGACCTGGACCAATAGAGTCTGTAATTTATGGACCCAGAACTGAATCGATAGATCCAATTATAAAAAATAAAAAATAAAAAATAAATATTTATGTTTAATATATATTAAATATTCTCTCTCTTGCTATATATATATATAGATAGATAGATAGATAGATATCAGGTTGGGTCTGAAACAGTTTGGGACTAAGTGGAACCAGTTCTGAATCAATAGTAATCGAGACCCTATATCAAGACTCGAAACCAGCCCCTCGGTTTCAATTCCCGGAACTAAAACCTGCTCAATCGGTTTGGGTCCATCGGGTCAGACCCGACCCATTGACAGCCCTAAATATGAGCCAACATTGATTGTAGAGAGGATAGTTCATCCATCCTGCATTCAGTATTGGCTTACACTTTGAAACTTGCAATCTTTTCTTTAGTAAAATGAAACATTCAATCTTCCAATGGCGGTGGGTATATCTTAGTAAGAATTTTCCTTGTTAGAGATAGAAAAGAGGACAAGACAATATGCACTAGTAGGAAACCAATGTTGGAGAATTGGAGGACACAAGATATGTACAGATCTTAGACCAGGAATTGAAGAAGTGCCAGAAGTTCTGCTATTGAGAGTTGCAGTGGCTATGGTAGGTGGAAAGGAGGGAGAAGACAGGGAAGGGATATTCGGCGGAGAGAGAGAGAAAGATGGGGCCCACGTATAATTTTAAGTGGGACCCACCTATCATTTTCTCTTAAAGGAAGAAAGTTAAAGTGGGACCTACTTATTATTTTTCTCTTAAAAAAGGAAATTTCAAGTGGGGCCCATCTATTGTTTCTCTATAAAGAGGAATGTTTAGTTCGAACCCGCTTATATATTATTTTCAACATTTATTAACTATATATTAAATAGTTTTATTTTATTCCGTGTGACCCACTTGTAATTTTCTAGTTTTTTGAGTTTAACAGTGCCACATCAACATTTCTTATTGTTTTAGTCAATATTTAACAGATTCTTATTGTTTTAGTCAATATTTAACAGATTGTGAATGACATCACTATTACCATGCGTTTTGGGGCTAATGGTGGCCTTTTTTTAAGTCTTAGGTCTAAATTGTCCCCTCCAATTGCACGAGGGAAAAAGTGGCCATTTCGCAAAATACAGGGGTTGTTAGAGCCAAAAATCCCTTTTTAAAACATCCAAAGAGCCTCCAATCTTGAATTTTGTTGTATAAAACTCACATTCCCTTAAGATTTCCATTAGATGACCATTAGTGACCATTAATAAAAGTTGACCATGTAAGCATTTAAGTACTTTACATGACCAAACTACCCCTAAATGGCCAATTAAGCATATTAAATATTTTGTTATGACAAAATTACCCCAAATTTGGGGCCAAGCCCATACTAGGCCAGCAAATTTTAAAGTCGGGCTTGGGTCAAATACTTCAAGCCCAACCTAGGCCTAATGTATCTAATAAGGTTGACTAGCCATTCCAAGGGTAATTTTGTCATAAGAATATTTAATAAGGTTGACTAACCATTTTAGGGGTAGTTTAGTCATGTAAAATACTTAAATGCTTACATAGACAACTTCTATTAGTGGTCTGTTTGGTTGCCTCGAAAGGATGGGATGATAAAGGAATATATATTTTTCTTAGTTTTGCATCTAATGTTTGTTTCTCGAG